AAAAAAAAAAAAAAAAAAAATGTACATTTCTTTTTAATGACTCAATCATAGAAACTTCATAATTAAATGTGTTTTGCTCTGAACAATTTTATGTTGAGTGACCTCTTGAAAATATGTTGGAATGATTGATGTTGATTTATGGGATAGTCTTCAGTATTATATTATTTTTTTTTATAATAAAAATGTAATTTATAAATTCAAAAAATTGGAACAAATTTTGAAGTTAGTTAAGAAAAGAGAATAGTTTGGACCATACTACATCCAAATTTTTTGACTTATAATTTTAATTTCGTATTATTTAATATGGATAATCAAAGTTATTAAATTTTAATAAATTCATATCTAGGTACTTTTTAATGTGATAAGTTTTCTAATCTAGATTAATAATTATTTAATTTTTATTTTAAAAAGCAATGCTTATAAACACGAATTAAAGTATTATTTTATTATTTTATTATTTTATGTTTTTCACCTATATTTTAGGCTCAAAATAGAAGGAATAGATTTATAATTACTGTATGCAGTAATGTTGCCGTCAATTAAATAGTTAATATTTAAAAGCTGTCGAAGAAATTAATGTCGAGGGAATGAATTTGGTTGGTGGATCTCTGAGGCCACGCTGACCACAAACGAAAGGGTGATGTGTCCATTAATAAATGAATCAGCAAGTCTCTTTGCCACGTGTATTAGAAGCAACTGGACACGTCGGTTTTCCCTCGCAATTGGGTTACAGACAGAGAGGATAGGTTTGAGTAATTAATTATTACCCAAATCACTTTTTTGAAGCCTTAAGAATTCCGAAGCCTAATGGGACCGTATTTTAAATTTAAAAATTATATTATATTAAATGTATATATCCACATGTGATGATTAATTTCCGTGAACGGGGTTTGAAAATATGAATTTTGCCACGTGGATTTTCACAATTTTATTTCTTGTGCGTTCTTTGAATTATAAATAACAATTCATGACAATACATAATCAGTCAAAGCTAACAATATCTATTGACGGTCGACTTAGACTGTTACAAATGGTATCAGAGTCAAATTTGAACAGTGTACCAAAATTGTAAAATCTCATATTGGTTGGAGAGGGGAACGAAACATTCTTTGATAATGATGTAGAAACTTCTCCATATAAGATCCCACATTGGTACGAAAGGAAACGTCATGTATGGACCTTCAAAAAAGTCATTTGTGGTGCTAATACCACACCTCTTACGTCAAGAGTTTTATGGGGAGGTCTAATTACGTTGAATATTTAAGACTCTGTGCTTTTTTATCGTGAATTTTTCTTGGAGCTTTAGCTCGAATATCAATATCATCTCTCTTGCATTATAAAAAGAAAAAGCTTTTTATTTGAAGTGTCGGAAAAAGCGAGAAACCACACCACTCTTTACACTCTTGGTCATCTTCACACTGTTCATTTACACGTTCTTGTTATCTAAACCTTTGCCTTTTTCCCATAATGAATGGTGCTATCAACCCCATACCCATGGTTTGGATGATTTGATCGCATCAGGCAACAAAACATACATCTCCATAGGCATAATCAAGTTTTGTTCTCGAATTCAACCCATCGTGTTCATGCTAGAGCGCCCACATGTTCATACCTCTAAGAGTGCTCTGGTACGTGTTTTAGTCAACAACCAAAGACCTATTTGGAACGAGTTTTTCTAGTGCTTACAAAAATTGTTTCAAATAGATTAATAAAAACATGGATGAAATAGTTCAAAGCCTTGTTAATGGTATGTTTTAATTGTTTGAGTGGTCCTAAAAGGTGAAGCTAGTAGTGACAAATCCTTATGGTGGTGGTGGGCAAAGGTCATATTCATCTGTTCAAGCCGTCCTCTTGCAATGCCTTATGGCAGTCTCGTTCATTATGTTTCTCAATGGTAGTCTCATTCATACGAAAAACTCAAAACTTATATATTATAGACCTCTCCATTTATCGAATGTCGTGAAGTATTAGAATTCTTAAACATATTAAGCGTTGATTAAGTCATTCATTAGGTTAATATTACGACTTGCTTATTATTGGTATTGTCCACTTTGAGCATAAGCTCTCATGGCGACTTTGCTTTGGGCTTCCCCAAAAGGCCTCCATCATCCAACACCTCCCCTCGAACAAAGCACAACTCCCCTTAATCGAGCCTTGACTCCTTTGGAGTTTGTCATTTTTTACTCCTTTTTTCTTTTTGAAGTCATTTGTTCAACATTTGAGGATTTGTCAATATATTGGCACGGCTAAATTTAGGGCATGGCTCTGATACCATGTTAGATGAACACGACTCTCCACAATGGTATGATATTGTCCACTTTGAGCATAGCCTCTTATGGCTTTGCTTTGGACTTCCTTAAAAGGCCTCATACCTCAATGAAGTTAGTATTCCTCGCTTATAAACCCATGATCATTCCCTAAATTAGCAGACTTTCATCATCCAACCTTACAAAGCCAAAATATTAATATTAATATTTGTATTTAACATTTTTTTTTTCTTTTTTATTAGTTTAAAATTTTTGCTATCCACCCAATCTTCAAATATTAAATGGGAAATAATTGTTAATTTCTCTAATATATTATATCTCATCAATTATTTTAAATTTCTTAAACACTAAAATTATATATTACATATATATGATAAATCAATAAATACATATAATTAATAAATTTTTTAGTCAGTAAAAAGAAAAGGAAAAAAGAAATTGTTTCATTCAGGATCCGTCTCCTTGGAGCCCAAAGTAAAATAAGGGGTCTCCTAGTCCAGCCACTCTCTTCTTCGGCCCACGGCCCAATAGTAATTTCACGTTTTTTTTCCTTTTATTTTGTAAAAATACTTTTACTTATAAATATTATTTTACTATTTGGAGTGGTAATTTTTTTTTGAGTTTTCTTTTTTATATAATAATATATTTATTATTCAAATTTATTAGATACAAAATTAAAAGTTTAGGGACTTATTAAATAAATATTTAAAATTAAGAGATTTATTAAAATTTGTGTAAATTTCACGAAGCATCCATAATGTTATACAAGAATTATAACTCGTTTTCTTAATATTTAGTTTAAGCATTTGAACGATGCTCGTGAACGTTCGAAGAACAATGAATCAAGAAAGAGATACTCTCGTGACTGAATAGTATAGCTCGTGCTTCTTTGTATGATATATCATATATGAAAATGAGGGATACTTCACGAGTCGATGATCAGATGAGGAAGATAATAGTCGAGACACGGGGTTTATAAGGATGATGCTTTGCTTGGACTTTACTCCTCATAGAAGAAGATGATATTAGGGAAAATGTGACAAACTATCCTTTTCTAAATTCAAATTTCAAATAAAATAATTTATTTGAATTTTGAGGCCCTTACTTTTCTTTCTATTTTTGAAATAGAGTTTTGAAATAAATAAAAAAAAAAAGAAGATTTTTTTTTGTTTTTTTTATTAAATTTATTAGATATAAAATTGAAAATGTAATGTAATATAAATTTTAAATAAATATTTTATAGAGATTTATTATAAATAAAAAAAAGAATTAAAAGCTTATTGACGTATTTGATATTTAAAATTCTATATTAAACACAAAATTATAAATATATTGTTGAAGATAAATATTTAAAAAATAAGGAGTAAAATTGTCATTCAATATTAAAAAAGAATAGAAGGGTGTAACGGCGTCGTTTCAGTGGCGGCAGAAGAACACCGTAAGATTTCGTACACAGCGGGGTACAGAATCGAATCCCTTTGTGGCCCTCCGTCCGGCAATGGATTTCACACAGGCAGCGTCCCTTTCAAGAATCCCCACAAAATGCCACAAAATCAAAATTCATATATATAATATTGCTTAAATTGTAAAAAATACCTTATAACTTTTATCATTTTATTTTTAAAAAATTAAAAAAATAATTAAAAAAAAAAACCTTTTTAGCAATATATTATTCTTCACTTTTCATTAAAAAAATTGAACGTAATTACAACATAGAATTGTGTGAAGGCGATCGCACTCAACTCACTGTTTATTATTTCTATTTAATAATTTTAAAATATTTATAAAAAATCACTTTTGGAAATATATTAATACTTTTTTAAGTAAATAACAGAATTTAGAGACATTTTTATAATGTAGTCTTTTTAATTGATTTTTCAAAATTTAAAATTATTTAAAAAATATATTATTTTAGGACTAAAATTATAATTTTATTAAAAAAAAAAAAGGAAAAAGGAAATTTCCTCTCTCTCTCTCTACATTTGTTTCTCTCACTAAAAATTTGAAACTTTGAATTTCTCTGTCTCTTTTGCTTTTTCTCCAAATCTCTGTTTCTCTCTCATTACAATAATGGATTTTACAATAAAGAATGGTTGAAGAGTTTCCATCCGCCCCCTTCTCTCCATTTCCCTCCTCCGCCATTTTCCCCACTCTCTGCTTCTTCTTCTTCCATCCGGGAGCTCGTTGGAGAATCGCCTCTTTTGCCTCCAGGTTGCAACTCTCTCTGTACTTCATTTTTAGTTTCTTTCGCATTACGAAACTTGTCGCCGAAAATTTGATGCTAGATGTCGCTGTTTTTGCCCTAGACAGTTGCCATTCTTCTTGTTTCTACTTGCATTTGGTTTTTCTTTGATGTTTTTGTCTGTTTTTGGTGAAGAAACTCTCTCGTCGGTCGTCGTGCTTTTTTTTTTTTTGCTTTCTGCTACTGTTTTGCTGCTTGTATTGGATTAATCTGGTGCGGTGTATGGTTTATTTTTGTACTTGCTTCTAAACATTGAATACTTCACTTCTTATGGCTTTCGAAACCTTTAATGTTGAGTGAATGGCGAGGATGAGTGGGCGGAGATGAATGCTACTTTCTTGTGGCTTTGAGTTTAATGCTTTTGAGTAGGAGTAAAGGCTACATAACGTTCACGTGATTTGATGCCGTTTGTTTTTGTGTTTGAATTCTCGTCTTTGTCAGTGAGAGATGAATTTTTTGATTCGATGGCGCGGGATTTTCTCCGTAACCCTAGCGTGCTTGTTTCCTAGTTAATGGGTATATACGTAGTTATTATTTACACTTTGACTCTTCCTTTCGAGTCTCTGTCTCTAATTTATCAACCATTTGACTATTGGGATTTGCATAATTTTATTGCGAGGCTTTTTAATTTTTGACTTTCGAAAACTTTGAATCATGTCATTTAGATTGTGGGTGGCAAACGACGCAAGTCGTATCTTATTTTCTTATACCACAAAAAGTAATAATCGTTTCAGTTGGAAATTTATTAATATTTATAACTCAGAATATAAGCGATGGTGATTCTATGCATGTCTAATTTTAATTTTTTGATGAACGTCAATCAGTAGCCTTGGCCTGGGTGCTCCCCTCTTTCGTTTATCAAAGGACAACAGTTCGACGGAATTTAAATGGAGCAGTATGAAATTCTAGAGCAGATTGGCAAGGGTTCTTTCGGCTCTGCTCTTCTTGTAAGACATAAACTTGAAAAGAAAAGGTATTATAGTTTACTGGTTATATGCAGTTTATGTATTGTGGCTTTAGTTGAAATATAGTTTAGGTTGAAAGAAATGGTTTAGTGACTATAGTAATTGTAATTTTACCTTTGCAATTTCTTAGGTATGTCCTCAAGAAGATTCGTCTTGCTCGCCAGACTGATAGAACAAGAAGGTCAGCTCATCAGGAGGTTAGTGGCAACTCTGCTGAAGGAAATATTATTTTTGCTGTCTTATTAACATGTAACGTACTATGGAATTTACTCTAATTTTTGGGAACCTAGGTTTGAAAATGTCACCTTACCTTATTGATGTGAGTTGCATTTGAAAGGTAGCAGGTTGCAGTCACTTATCAAATCTTTTAATGCCACATACTTCTTTTTGTGAGCAAAAATAGGCCGTTAACATTATGACATATTATTGGATTGGTTGGTGCAATTAACAATTGAATCTAATTATCTCTAGGTTGCTTTTAGTAGTCTTTAAATTGCTTGAAATTGTACGTTCTAAGACATGATATGGGAAATACTATTTAAAGGCCGTGTCTGCTAGTTGATGTTTGCATGATTTGATTAGTCTTGTAAAAAATGCTATCAAATATCTCATAATTAGTTGCTTTCTTCTATTATTTTTTTTTTTTAAGATGGAGCTTATATCTAAAGCACGCAACCCCTTTATTGTGGAGTATAAAGATTCTTGGGTAGAAAAGGTTGGTATATTTTGAAATTTCTGTATGTTTCTTAAACTATATTATAATGTTGCTCAAGGCTGATTGATTTTGAAATAATCTCTACCAGGGCTGTTTCGTGTGTATTGTGATAGGATATTGTGAAGGAGGAGACATGTAAGTTCTGCTGAAATTTGTTCCATAATAGCTCATTTTTGTGGTGAGAAGCATCAACTTCATTATTATAAAAAAGAAATGTAGGTGAGATGTCCTCCAAGGCTGACCAGAATGAATACAGAAAACCTTTCTGTAGGCAGCTACTTGGGCAGGGGAATAATTACAGAAAAGTGTTCTAAATTCTATAGAACACCAAGAAGAAGCTATCTAAATAGAATTTACTCACCAACTGCAAGATATCTCATTCAATTTCATCTTCAGTTTTATTTATCTATGGTATCTCTATAACTTTCCTGTATTCCTTATTTTCCACAGGGCTGAGGCTATAAAAAGAGTCAATGGTGTTCATTTTCCTGAAGAGGTGCCCTGTGTCTCTGACCGCTGATAATACTATTGTTTAACTGTTCTGCTGATCAACCTGGTTTGTTTGACTGTACTGTGCAGAAACTTTGTCGGTGGCTTGTTCAACTTCTTATGGCTCTTGATTACCTTCATTGCAACCATATTCTTCACCGTGATGTCAAGGTCGGTACCTTACTGCGCATCCCCCTGTTAGATAACATTACATGACCCTTTGAGCTACTATACTCAAGTTTTTATTTATTTATTTATTTTTAATAGTAAAAATTATATTATATTAAATTCATTTTTTAATGGTTGATACAGTGTTCAAATATATTCTTGACAAAAGATCAAGACATACGCCTAGGTAACCCATCTGCCTTGCCTTGGCCATTGTTTCTCTCTATATAGTTTTTTTCTTGAACTTTCACAAAATATTTTATTTCTAGTTTTTTGAAAAATAACCGAGTATATGCCTTGTAGGTGATTTTGGCCTTGCTAAAATGTTGACTTCGGATGACCTTGCTTCCTCTGTGAGTAGTATGGCAAAGAGTCTGGATAACTTTATAATGTGTTTTTCTCCGAAATCATGTATATCTATTCCGTGTTTGGTGGTGTTGGTGCTTGTGAACCAGAAAGGGATTGCTAGAGTCAGAATTGTAATATTTCTGTGCACTGCAGGTTGTGGGTACTCCAAGTTACATGTGCCCTGAGCTTCTTGCCGACATACCTTATGGTTCAAAGTCAGATATATGGTCTCTTGGTAAACCACCTATTATTGATTCCTATATCCCTATCTTATATCAGTTGTGATTTCTTGAATGTCTATATGGGCCAACTTTCTGTTCAGGATGTTGCATACATGAAATGGCTGCTCACAAACCAGCGTTTAAAGCCTTCGTAAGTCGCTTGTAGTTGCTTTGCTTATCAATAGTCATATTTATATCCAGAACAACTGATGGGCCATTTTATCTGCATCATGTAGTTAAATTAGATTAAGCAGCAATGTGTTCCTGTTTTCTTGGGCAAGACTAATTTGATATTTTTCCCAAGCAGGATATGCAATCCTTGATCAATAAAATTAACAAATCCATCGTGGCTCCACTTCCAACCATGTATTCGGGTGCATTGTGAGTCCCAATTTAGTCTGTACATTTGATCAACTAGCTGAAATCTAAACTATATTCTGACTTTCTTTTGTCTGATTCAAAACGTTTGATGTTATTTCTCTCCATCAATCATTATTTGTAAATTGTCAACCTATCCTATAATTGATCATCAATTATCTTTATCCGTACTCTTCTACTTATAAGGTCATTGAGCAATGGCATCAAGTTTTCTGAAATATTTGTTTGATCATTCATTCAGTCGAGGGCTTGTCAAAAGCATGCTGAGGAAAAATCCGGAGCTCCGACCAAGTGTATGTATTTTCTTCCTGTTTTTCTTTTCTTGCCTGCGTAATTGATTTTATCTCAAGAAATAAACGTACATTGGGGAATGAACTATAAGCTGAAGTCAATTATATTTGCATGTCTAATGAAAAGTCATTTCTGCTTGGGCTCAATCTGTATAATTGGCTCAGTTTTCTTTCTAACAGTTGTCTGGTGCGCTATTTTTGTTCTTATTCAATATTGTTGTATTTATTTTAGAATTCTATCGATGTTTAGTCTCAGTATGTTCTTGCTGATGTTTTGGGAAGTGTGATAGTTACCCAAGTTTAGACTGTATATTCACACTCGAGTTTCTAAGATCGTTTGTAGGGAAGAAAGAAGTTAAATTGGTCTTTTATAGAATCGAACAATTTGTGTGCATTTGTAATGAAATCTTCATTTCTTTATATTCTGATAATATGCATGTAGTTCTATGGAGCATTGACAAAGCTTTTTATCTTTTTCGACTTTTCTTGACGTTGTTCTTTTGCTTTTACTTTCTAGGCCGCTGAATTACTAAATCATCCACATCTCCAGCCCTACGTTCTTAAGGTTCACCTTAAGTTGAATAGCCCTAGGCGAAGTACTTTTCCTCTTCAACGGTCTGATACAAACTACATCAAGAAAACAAGATTTGTAGAGCCAGGATCTGGTAGCTTAAAAACTTTCAGAGAGAAGAGACTGTCTTTTAGCAATGACAGGGCATTAAATCCCAGCGTCTCCACTATGGACGAAGAATCACAATGTTCCTCTCGAAGATCACAGCAGTTGCCCAGTTATTTGAATAAAAAGTTCGAGGAATTATCTGCTGGTAGTTTTGCTGACAAAGAAAGTGATGTTGACCAATCAAGAACCTCAAAGTTTCCAACTTCGAAAACCCCAAGGTTGACTAATGCTAAGCCTTCTGCTACACCCAAAAAGCAGACAATCTCATCAAAGTTTTCACCTGCAAACTTCAATCCTGTAAGTTTACTATAAAATTTGTATGTAGTGTTGTTGATCTACATTAGGTTTTAGCTTAGCTGACCTGTAGCAGCTAAGATGCTTTGTCATAACTGGCTCAACTATTCAAGCTGAGTTTAATTATAGGGGTGTTTTCTAATATGTCTGGTTTTTTTGTAATGTTTGAAATTCATGCTTTTAATCTTAAGGACATGTTAAACACCAACAATTGAAATTATTAATTTTCTGTCTGTTGGTTTGCAGATTCCAGCATCCCATACTCCAGCTAGAAGATCTTCACATTCAACTCGCAGGGCATCTCTTCCACTGTCAACAAAAGCTGCAGGCTTTGGCACCCCTTATAGGTCGAACACTGGGCTGCTTCACGGCATGAACTCCCAAGATATCTCTGTCAATGCCCCTAGAATCGATAAGATTGCAGAATTCCCCTTGGTTTCTTCCGAGGATCCTCTCCTGTACATCCGTGGAACATCATCTACATCAGCACAGTGCTCTGCCAACTCACAAGATTTCACCAACTGCTCGATTACAAAGGACAAGTGCACTGTCCAGGTGGTGGACAAAACCACCACAACGCCATCCAGCTATAGAGTTCCTGGGAATGGAAGTGATTACTTCGACCACAATCCAGCAGTCGCCTCTTCAAGCCGGTTATCCTTCGAGTCACGACAACGACGGTTCGACACCTCGTCGTACCAGCAACGAGCAGAGGCACTGGAAGGGCTCCTCGAGTTCAGTGCTAAATTACTCCAACAAGAGAGGTTTGAAGAGCTTGGGGTGTTGCTGAAACCCTTTGGACCTGAGAAAGTTTCTCCCAGGGAAACTGCCATATGGTTGGCCAAGAGCTTTAAGGAGGCAACAGTATAAGTAAGTTGAATACTCTGATCCAAAAAACAAAAAAGAAAAAACGACCGACCGTTACCATTTGTATATTGCCTCAACTGTCACTTAGGGTTTTGTAGCTTGGATAAACTCCCTTTGCCTTACTAATTTTGATACTTACCCCTAATCTTAAAATCATTTTAATTGGTAGTTTTATAGTTAGTCCTTAAATATCCATGTGCCAAGTGACATAGCTTTATACTAGATTAACTATTATACATTCAATTTTTCCACCCGAATCAAATGTAATTCTTGTCCCTTATTAATGGGTCGTTTTTTTTCTTTTCTATTTTATTTAATTTATTTAAACTTTTAATAGTTTTAAGTTTTTTTTTTTTTCCCCCCCCGAAAAGAAAACAGCAAAAAATAGAATCTACGAAGTTTCTCATTTTATTATTTAAATTTTTAAAACATTATCTAAAGAAGAGTCTAGAAAGAGGTAAGAACTTGTGCTCAAAATTTTAAAATAATATTTACAATTTAAAAAAAAATAATAATTTAAACAATATTTGGGATTAAAATATTCACAACTTGCACAAGTGGCTAACCTAAACGCCGAAATTGAGGTCAGAGATAGAGCACAAGTATTACGTGGCGGAGGAATAATCTTCCACGTGTGAACGATGCCACGTAAGCGAACTTTGATATTTTCAATTTTCGCTGCTTTTTATGAGTAGTAGCCACGACGACTAATCAATTTTATTTTTCTGTTTTGAATTTTTGAGAATCCTTCAATTATCCATTTGATATTTAATAGTTAAATGCCAAAACATAAATAAAAATAGTAAAAACAAAAAAGACCTCCTATGAAATATCATCCACAAAGTTAATAGTTTTTTATTATTATTAAAAAATAAAATAAAATAAAAAATCAGCAATATCAAAAAATTAAAAAAAAAAATTATAATTCTCAAAGGAAATTTGTTTATTAATTTAGATTGGACAGTCTCCCATGTCCCCGGGCCATTCGTGGTCACTATTTCATAAGACTACGTGCAAACCCCATCCCCACCCTCACACCATTTCTTCCATTTCCATATTTCTTGAACCTTCCAGAACCTTCCTCCAAACTCCACTCCTAAAGTCAACTCAACTCATTTTGACTTGAACATTGTTTTTTTATATATGTTTTGAGAAATAAATTATAGTAAATAATTCTGATTTATTTACAAAACATCATTTTTTAAAAACAAAAACAAAATTATTAATTCTGATTCTAAGGTCATATTAATATAAATAATAATAATATCATAACATTATCCGACGGAAGAGTCTAGAAACATGAAACATTAAAATAATAATATTATTATTATTTATTATTTTATTTTTTTTGTTAGTGCATCAATATTAAAATAATATTTCGAATTAAAAAATATTGCAACTTGCACAAGTGTTGCCTTGCTATTCGAAATGATTGAAGTTGGGGTCAGACGCCGAGTTGGAAGAATCATTACGTGTAGGCTTTTTAAGCATCCACGTGGCAATTTCACTGTTCCTTTTGGTGATGCCACGTAAGCGTTCTCCCATTTTTACAATTTTTTGCTTTTATTCCATTTAAAATCGAAGGAAGACAAAAAAAAAAAATATATATATATATATATATATATATGTATATATATATGAATAAAATATTCCAAATTCCAACCAATAGAAATTTATTATTATATATAAAGGGACCCGCTGGAGTGTCCTAAGCTCATTTGTGGTCACCAATTTATAAGACTGCGAGCCCTGAGCTCCACCTCATCGTCGAGCTTCCATTTCCCTTCGACCTTCCAGAACCTTCATTTCTCTCTTTCTCTCTCTACTTTCTCTCTCCTCCAACTTCCCCTAGAAACTTCTCTGCAATTTTTCATTTCTTTATGCTACAAGGTCTAGAACTTTCCAACTATCTCCTTCCGTTTCGTATTTAAGCATTTGGATGCCGTTTTTGATGCTTTTTAATGGAATTCTTGTACTCTGCTTCTCTTCCCTCTCATTGGTTTTTCTCTCGTTTCTGTAATTGATTTTGAACTCTTTTTCTTTTTTGATTTGTTGTTGTTCTTCTTCTGTTGTTGTTGTTGTTGTTGTTCATTGTAAGATGATTGAAGGTGAATGAATCTTTTATTCGAACATTGGGGGGGAATTTGTATGGTTGATTTATACGCGATTGTTGCAGAGATGAATCCTCTGTTTCCAGTTAAGGAAGAGTTTCCTGGATCGAATTCGTCGGAGACCGACAGAGAGCGATTGGCTATGGCTCCTCCGATTCCGATGGAGGGCCTTCACGATGCCGGTCCACCGCCGTTTCTGACGAAGACGTTTGAAATCGTTGATGATTTTAATACCGATCATGTGATTTCTTGGAGCTTTGGGGGAAATAGCTTCGTCGTTTGGGATCCTCATTGCTTCTCCACTGAATTGCTTCCCAGATTCTTTAAGCATAATAACTTTTCCAGTTTCGTTCGGCAGCTTAATACTTACGTAAGTCCTTTTCTATTGCTCCGTTTTGAATTTGGAATTTGGAATTTGGAATTTGGTTTTCTTTTACATCAATTCGTTGTGTTTCCGTTTCTGGAGACCCTTGAAAATATCGTAGTCTGAAATACCGTTTTTGCCATGCGTTTGGCTCGTTGTTGCTTCGTGGCTCGAATGGGTAGAAATGTAATTTCACCAATTTTATATTGCATTATTCTGGAATCTTCGATTGGAAAGCTCTGCTGCTTTACCTTCCAGGCCTTTCTTGCCATGTCTCCAGAATCTTCCTAAATTGGGAAATTCAATTGGAAATGTCGCAATCAGAAGAGCAGTGATCTGGCCATTTGATCTTCACCTGTACGGTCATCTAGTCTCTTTTTCATGGAACAATTTGTTATAAGGGAAAGGTTCTGGTGAAATTTGTCCGGGCGAAAGGAAATCTCGGAGGTTGGGTTCTAGGTTTTATTTTTGTTAATTGTTTCTTGTAAATTCTTGCAGGGCTTTAGAAAGATAGATCCAGATAGATGGGAGTTCGCAAATGAGGGATTTCTCAGAGGCCAAAAGCATCTTCTTAAGAACATAAAGAGGAGGAGGGCAACTTATCACCACCACCAAACTCCCCAATCACAAGCATCGAGTGGAGCTTGTGTAGAGGTTGGTCAATTTGGAGTAGATGCAGAAATGGATCGTTTAAAACGTGACAAGCAAGTGCTAATGATGGAGTTAGTGAAGCTAAGGCAAGAGCAACAGAACACGAGAGCGTATCTTCAAGCAATGGAGCAAAGGCTTAGAGGAACTGAAATTAAGCAGAGACAAATGATGAATTTCTTAGCAAGAGCTATGCAAAACCCATCGTTCATTCAGCAATTACTCCAGCAGAAGGAGAAGAGGAAGGTGCTTGAAGAAGCCATAACTAGGAAAAGAAGAAGGCCTATTCAGCAAGGTGGGAAACAGAGCGGTGGTGGTAGTGGGAGATTCTTGGGTGAAGGTTCAAGCACCATCAAGATTGAGCCTCTTGAATCTGAAGAATATGGGTTTGGGATTACAGAGCTAGAAGCACTTGCCTTGGAGATGCAGGGGCTTGGCAGGGCAAGACATGAAGAAGAGGAGGAGGAGGAGGAGGAGGAAGAAGAAGAAGAGGAAGAAGATCATCTACCTCCACCAGCGGATGGTGATAAAGTACTTGATGAAGGGTTTTGGGAAGAATTGTTCAGCGAAAGGTTGGAGGTAGCCAGTGGTGACGATGAAGATGTGAAAGTTCTGGCTGATCGGTTGGGCTATTTGGGCTCAGACCCACGATAGAGCCATCCGGCTGAGCATCATATGGGGAATTCACAAACGACCCATTTGAACTGGAAGTCCAGAAAAGGCTTCTCCATGTAGGCCTTTGGGGCAATGTTCTAAGCCCCTTTATAACCCTCTTTTGGTTTGTTCTTTGGCAGGACAAGAAGATGAAAAGAAAGATCGGTGCTATCAGGGACACAGCTTTTTCTGTTTTGGCATTATCTTTCTAACACAAAAATAATCGTTGATGCTTTCCCTTCCCCCTTCTGCAGCCACTTCCTCATATATATTTCTCTACTGTGGCTTTTGTTAGGTTTGCAGGAACCTAATCTGGTTGGACTCAATTCTGTGTTTATCCTGTTAGTGAAGCCTCAAGGTTTTGGTTTCTGTTTTACGTACATTTCCTTCCATTTCCACGTTCATGTTTTTGTAATACTTCATTCCGGTACAAACAAATGTAGATCGCTCATTCCAAAAGCTATCAAATTGGAAAAGAGAAAAGATGTGTTGCTGAATCCTTGAAGAATCAATCACATGCTGTTTCGTGGTTAGCAAAACTCTCTCTTTTATCATTCATTCATCCAAACTAAGAACTTGATAGGACTATGAACACCATCTAATTTATATGTTCAATCAGCCCGCTGTTCATCTGCTGCGAGCTTTCTACTTCCCCTGTGTCAAACTGATCTGATATACTGTGATAGATTGAGAATTGTTTAGATCTGTAAAAAAAATGTTGGGAATCAGTATTAGTGTATAACATTGGCGGATGCTGATGTTTCATGATTAATCCTTAAATTATCCACTAATTTGGCGGCTGGACGTAGTAAAAAGGTCGAAACAATTATAGTTTGACAAAATCAAGATTTTATGCATACATGTACAAATTTGTCCCATTCTTTTACTAGGTAGCTATCTTATGGTGGTGAATTGATTAATATTTGTCCAATGGTATGTCACTATCAGACAATGATTAATTCATCATCTTCATGCCTAAGATAATGATAATTAAAGTTATGTGATTATTAAAGTTCTATTTTGAAGGTCGTGTAGAGTATGTATGACTATTAAAATTCTGTTTGGAATGTCGTGTAGATATGTTTTATAGATTTTCGAAGTTTAAGGAAGATAGATATATATATATATATTTTTTTTTTGGATTATGTGATTCGAACTTCTAAATTTTGAAATTATAAAAAAATTAATAGTATCTCGTTATAAATTTAATACATTTTTTGTTAAATTGAAATATGTATTTATATCTAAAAACTATATGACAAGAGTATAAAATTAGAGATTTATTTTGAAGGTTATATTTTGAGTGTTATCATTGATATACTAATAATATATGTTATGTGAAATTAGAATCAATATTGATGAATTACTAATACATTAACGATGTACTTGAAGTTATACACTTGAATATGTGTTGACATATCATTGATATACTTACAATTTTGGTAAATCCATTTGAGGAAAATCCTAGATATGCCGTTAGATCAAAGTCTTCAAGGCTTTGTTTGGGATGAACTCGCAAAGACTCGACTCGAGGACTTCCCTTGTAGAGTGGCGTCTTTTATAAGACTCGACTTTCCTTGAGAAGTGGAACTCAAAGGGAACTAAAAAAAAGAGGTTGAGCTGAACTGTAAACTTTTGAACTCGGATATTCAATCATTTTCTTTCCTATTTCTTTTCTTTCACTCTTTCCAAGCAAGGTAAGGGGGCTGGGCTGAGGGACAGAATTCACATGAATATGGTAAGTCTCGGTTGCTTTCAGGGTAGTCCTTCGATTTTCTCTTTCACTCGGAGTATGGGGAAGAAGTGGACTCGAGAAGTACTACTAAGAATCAAACAGTATCAATTGTTTTTTGTTGGTTTATTTGATGGATCATTCTGCAACACTTTTTCTCTTTTCTTTTTACAGTAAAAAACGCAAAAGGAGTTCCATACAGTTAGATATGTATAGAAAGTTCTTTCACCTGAGGATCATACCTTCTCCTTTCGAGTCACTTCTGGCTACCATTGGATTCTTGGTGGATTTTTTTTTTTTTTTTTTGTTTTTTTTTTTTTTGTTATAGTTTCTAAATCATTTAAGAATCGAGTTTGGGAGCGGATATGGAGGTGAGTTTGGACAAATTTAGTTCTCTTTACACACTATTTTTTTATCTCTTTAATATTAAAAATTCATTTTAGTCATATTTGAACTTTGTCAAATCACCTGTTGTGAAAGTTTTATTTGTCTCCGAAAATACAATTTTTTTTTTTTTTTTTTTTTTGTAATATTTGACCATCAGCTTCTATACTATATGAATTGAACCATATAAGTTGACAACCATGCGCTAATAAATATAATTTGAAACAAATTAACAAAAATTAAAATTTAAGTCCACGAATAAGAAGAGCACAAACTTGGTTCATAAATTCAATTGTATAAATGATGTACGTATCATCGTTATTTGGGCCTTTTGGGCTTTTTTAATGTGGGCTTTTTTAATGTGGGCTTTTTTAATGTGGGCTTACAAACTTCGGCAGCCTTTTCCAGCCAACCGGTTTAAATGATGTACGTATATGGAATTACGCAACTTAATTGTGGAAAAATATAATTATCGTATTCTTATATTTCAAATTGCGGATTAGTTTTTAGAATTTTTTTTCGATTTTTTATTTGGGTTTAGACATATAAAAAAGTAGAAAATAATTTACTAAACACATTCAAAATTCTGCTACAGTTTAGAATTTTTTATTTGATTTTTTCTTCATATTTTATTTGTGTTATATCCGAACGCGTTTCGGAGGTATAAAATAATTTACTAATGTCTATTAAAATTCCATAGAAATTTCTCATATTCGAAGGTATAAAGTAAGTTACTAACCCCTATTAGAATTCTACACTAGCATATTGGCAATATCTCATACTTGAAATTTAGGTTCAAATCTTTGCTATGGATTCATCTTTTCTCGATATTTTATTCCAAAGGTATAAAATAATTCACTAGTCTTTTCTCGATATTCTGTTTTTTTCTCAATATTTTATTCGAGTTTCGGACATGCGTTCGAAGGTAAGTCTCCTTAAGTACTGCTCTCTTATCTTATTTCTTGTGATCGTGAAAGCGATTTATATCGTAAATTCAAATATTTTCTTCGATTTAAACAGTTAACCGTTTAAATATTCAATCGTAAATCTCAGCTTCTTGAAGTATTAAGTTCTTGACAAACATATCATAGGTTCGAATCTCCATCCTTACATTGAGCTAAAAATCACCGTTGAACATGGGACAAATGTCATTTCCCATCCCGACAAAGGATAATGTTATTACTAGAGCCAAACACAAATAGATAACATGTTTTTTTTTTTTTTTTAAGGGAGAATATTTTTTTTGAAAGGGTCTTTTTTTTTTTTTTTTTTTTTC